TCTTTCCTTCTTTCCTTCTTTCCTTCTTTCCTTCTTTCCTTCTTTCCTTCCTTCTCTCTTTCTCCCTTTCTTTCTGAACAGTGGGAGGGGTTATTCTCTTGGCAGCTTGTTTTAAAGGCACTGTGTCTTCTGCCATGCTCCTGCAAAATCTTGACTTTAATGAAAATCATTCCTAGGGAAATCAGTAACAGCAGAAGTGATTTTGTGAAAAATAAAGTTTAGAGATGAATAAGTAATATGATGTACAGAAAAATATGTGAAAGAGAATAAAAGATGGAATGATTTGCACATACTAGAAAGAAGACTGGAGATTTGGAACAGGCAGATGCAAGAGATAGATTCACATGTTTGGTGGATACATTACTTTGTAGATTTAGAAATAGAATGTTTTAATGCCCAAAGATGAGGATGTAAGCTATAGACCTAGGCTATACACAAGTACTGGTTTTCTGGATCTGATATTTATATGATGTTTGCAACTCTGGCCATTGCAGGGGGGTTGGAATTACGTGATCTTTGAGGTCCCTTCTAACCCAAACCATTCTATGATCAATGGGGAAAAATTACAAGGGAGTGGCTGACGTTTTATCATATCATATTGATATGATATTGTATTATCTTTCTCTCAATGTTTAATGCATAGGAATCTGGTTAATAGAATCATAAAATTAGTTAGTTTGGAAAAGACCTCTATGGTCATCAGGTAACCATTAACCTAGCACTACCAAGTCAATCACTAACCTTGTCCCTAAGCTTTACATCTACATGTCTTTTAAAGACCTCCAGGAATGGTGACTCAACTGCTTCTCTGGGCAGCCTGCTCTAATGCTTCTCAACCCTCTCATGAAGAGTATTTTTTACCTGATATCCAACTTAAACTTCCCCTGCTGCAACTTGAGACCGTTTCTTCTTGTCCTCTTACACACTGCTTAGAAGAAATGGCCAACTCCTTTCAGGTAGTTGTAGAGAGTGATAAGATGTCCCCTGAGCCTCTTTTTCTCTGGGCTAAATAATCTGAGTTCCCTCAGCTGTGCCTTGTAAGACTTGTTCTTTATAGACCATTTATCTTTGTTTTCTGTCTTCAGACATGTTCCAGCACCTTGATGTCTTTGTTGTAGTAAGGAGCCCAGAACTGAACACAGTACTTGAGGTGTGAGGAGGGCAATCACTTCCCCGCTCCTGCTGACAAACTTTCTGATACAAGCCAGGATGCCATTGGTCTTCTTGGCCATCTGAGCACACTGCTGGCCCATATTCAGCCAACTATCAGCCAGTACCTCCAGGTTCTTTTCCAGTGGGCAGATTTCCAGCTATTCTATCCCAAGTTTGTAGCTTTGCAGTCTGGCTTACAGTCATTGAGAAAAATTAACTGATACTGCTAAGACAGTGGTCAGATGGTACTGAAAGAATTCAATTATTCTGGCTAAGAAGATGCTTAATTTAGAAATAAAAAACTAAAATCCTGAAATGGATACTTCTTTTATTCAGAGGGCCTAAGCAGACAAATGGAAAAAGCCTGACTAGACTGAAATGGTGGGATAACAAATATTAAAGATACAAACTTTGCAGGAGTGATCAAAACAGAGATAGATGTGGTGCATAGCAGATAAAAGGGACTTACATGCTTTAAAGTTCTTTCTTTATCATCTACTTGGATGAAATCACCTTGAGGAAGGATAGGAAAAAAATTATCACAATAATATTGGGTAGTTTTTCTTGTTTGTATGTACTGTTTACCCCTTAGCTATCTTTGATTCGTACTACAGGCAGTGGAAACCTTGTCAATACTGTCTGCTGAGTGTATAGATTCATTTCTAAATTCATCTCAGTAGGCATCTGTGGTAGAACAGTTATGTAAATGGAGACTTGCAGACATTTCAGTACAGAATAGCCTACTGCTGCTCCAGAAGTATGTGTCTCCTGTACCCCATGTGAGATATCTGTCACATACAGATGTCGGAGGCACCTTGGAGCATTTCAGATGGCAGCTGAATTGAACCCTCTGTACTTGTTCAGCTGAATGACTCTACGCATCGCTGATGGCATTGACTGTGACTCTTAGTAGGAGCTTAGTTCACACATGGACACTCAAATGTAGATATTCTTATCTCAGAGTGAATCCCGTCCATACTGTCAAATATTTGAATGATTATAATATTTCAATGGATATGAATTTGAATGTAACATTATTAGATTATTACTGCTAATATTTCTGAAATGTTAATTTATTAAGAGTTGTTCATGATAGGCAAACCTGGACTTTTCTGTGATGAGATAATAGTTTTTGTTGTCAGGATAAGTACAGTAATTCTGTATACAGTATATAACTTCTAATGAAGATACCATGTCACAAGAGAAGTGGCTGATAGTTTGTAGAGAATGAAAACTAGTAGATTTGTTGAAGGAGGAAATAGCTGGCAATTACATGAAATGTAAGAATGAATAGGAGATTGCTGGGAAAGTACAAGCAGAGTTCTTCCAGGACCAGATTTAGAGCTAATCTTAACGTGTTACGCGTTACCTTTATGCACAACGTAGAAATAGATGATGGCATTTTCTCCTTACACTGATTACATAATAAAATAGGAATGTGGATGTTGTCTAGAAAAAGAATTACACTGAAGATGAGATTATTAAAAATGGCATTTAAAATATAATATTATAGACCAAAGTATTGAGGAAGAAGTAAATGAATTTTGTTATGAATTGAGAGCTGATCACCTGGAATCTGGATATTCTGTTTGATCCCATGTTGACTGTGAGCCATCACCATGCAGCTGTGAAAGAGCATTACTGACATTGGTCAAGACAATGTGATTGCTTCTGGAGTACTTCATGTACAGTTCTGCTCTCCAGCTGTGAGAATGGGCTCCAGGTGGGTTATAAATGGGCTGCCATAACAGTTAGATGAAAGGACAGCCAAACTGTGTGAGAGACCGTTGTTAAAAGCTCAGTTTGTTTATCCTATTAAAATAAATGTTGAAATAAGCCATTCCTGGCTTCTGTATGTAACACCAGGGAGGAAGAAGAGCAGTTATCTTAAATATAATTACAATAGTAAACAGGTCAAAACTGACCTTGAGTAATCTGAGGCAGGGAATTAGAACAAATAGTCTGTTGTTAGTCTCCTAATAAGAATGTATCTACTGGACAGAGAGGATCAATCTATGAAAGAGATTATGAGAAGCAGTTTCCTCTAGTACTTGGATGTGTGTTCTGATTGCACTGCAAAGAACTGGCCAGTGCTAGTAAGCAAAAATGGACTCTGCCATGGTTACTCTAGCTCAGCTCATTTATACACAAAGTAAATGGCTTCATTTATAAGACAGATTGCCCCAAAATACTGCATTTTAGCCAAGATCTTAGGCATTGCCACTGACACCCCACATGCCTTATTAGCATGTCCAGAAGCTCCCTTTCCAAGTGGTTTGGAAACGGATGTGTGTTCTTCCTACAAAAAAAAAAAAAAAAAAAAAAAAAAAAGAAGCATCAATGAGAGTGAATTTTGTTTAGAAGTAAGGAGCAGTTCTGTCTGGTCACAACAAGGTGACTTTGCTTATCTAACAATGCACACAAGTATGGAAGACTGTATTTGTTTCTTATTAACACAGTGGAAACGTGTAGTTCACAACTGATTCTTCTAGCATATGGTTAACTGCTATTGTCTCTGTGGTGTACCAGCCTGAACAAGAAGCAGAGTGACAAACACAGTAGTGCCTGAATAGTAAGTAATGTAGTAGTGATGTCTTTGTTCAGAATGGACATATTTGTTTTATTTACTGTAACCACAGGACTCCTTAAAGGAGGTTCTTGAACAACTTAAAGAAGAGAAGAAAAGTCTCCAGAATCAGCTAAAAGATTATGAACTTAGACTGGAACAAGAGGCAAAGGTTTGTAAATCACTGTATGCATCTAGTCTATAAAAGCTGTTACGTTGTCTGACAGACAGACAAGGTGTGTAGGACACACAATAGAATAGTTTGCCTAATGTTTTTCTGTGTTATTTATTTTAAACATAGGCTTACCACAAAGCTAATGATGAGCGGCGCATGTACCTTTCAGAGATTTTGCAGGTAAGAAAAAAACTTGTGTGACTCAATAGGAGCTGGAGCATCTCTCTTGTGAGGAACGGCTGAGAGACCTGGCACTGCTCAGCCTGGGGAAGCAAAGACTGGAAAAGGATCTTGTCAGTGCTTATAAATATCTAAAGGATGAGAGTCAAGTGGATGGGTTCTTCTCAGGCTCTTCTCAGCAGTGCCCAGTGACAGAAAAAGGGCAGTGGGCAAAAACTGGAACATAGGAAGTCCCATGCAACATGAGGAAAAAATTCTTTACTTTGATAGTGACAGAGAACTGGAACAGGCTGGTTTTGTCAATTGGAATTTCATTGCTCACAAAGATACCCAGTCAGTACCCTAAACTGAGAAAGCTGAAGCAGTTTTCTGACACTTGCTTGCCCATCCAGTAGTGACAAGACTATTGTGCTGCAGTTCAATCTTTCAGCTGAAAAGAGCAGAACCAAATTATTAGTGGCATTGACACGTTAAGAAAACTTCTCTTTTTCATGTTTCCCCCTTTTTATCTTTTAAAGCCAAGGTAACCAGTCAGCTCAGATTGACAATACAATTAAATTTACAAGATAAGGGATAAGGTACTTTGTTTTTATGAACTCAGAGGTTAAATTTTATTGCTGCAAATTATGTAACACATAAAAGTTGATAGTATAAACTGCAGGGAACCTGTAAAGATTTCTAGTACTTCCTGTTGTGAAAGAACTCTTGATTCCTCAATAATGTAAAAGTAATAGCTTAGTGTGATACTCAAGAATGATTGTCACGTACTCGATGTCATCTGTAAGTGGAGTGAAAGGCTGTAATTAGCAGTGTTTCCATGTGTTTGCTCAGTGGGCAAGTGATGTGGATCATTTCTGCTTTGGGAAATCTGAAGGAATTTCTCAAGCTAGCTTCCCAGCATTAAAGCCATAAATAACTCAGAAAATGTGAATAATAACTGTTAGTATCTTTATATTAAACACTGAAGCTGGGAACTGTTGGAGGAAGAAGATAGGACATAAAAAGATGATTTCATTACTATACATGGTAGCAGGAGGAATACCTATGTTTGGTTGCCTAGAAAAGCACTTAAACCTGCATAAAACATTGTTTGAAGTGAGGTGTATGCACTGGCACATTGCCTAAGCAGGACACTGGGAACTAGTGTATATTATGTTTTCAGTAATCGGTTGCATTATTTCAGAACAATTTGGGGGCAAAATAATCATTTTTTGATTAATCTGCCAATCTCCAATTTTCTGACTGCCAAACATTGTCTGAAGTAATTGAAGACGGATCCTCTGTAATCTATGGAGGTAGAAGGATGTTTAAGGTGCAGACCATCACACTTGTTTTAGATGAAGTGGATTTCCTAGGCACTTTCCTGTCTATATACCTGTGCTGTAGGGAGAGCCTAGTGAGCAGTTTAGATTGGATGTCTGTCTTTTACACTGGTAATCTGAACAGGGTAATCATTCTCATCATGGATGCAAAATAATTATTGACTCATCTGGTTCTTTCTGACCCCTCACTGCTATGACCTTAATTTCGTTGTTGCTCTTACATTATTTTCAAATCAACATAGCTTGTGCTCCTTGTTAACAATTCATTTTGTCATCAGAGACAAAAGCAAATTTGCACTCAGCCTAGACTTCTTCAGCTGTGTGAAAATCTCACTGTTTGAGTCTGTGCTGTAATGCTGGCAGCAGTACAGTTAGAAGGATAACAGTATACCACAAGACGTTATCTTGTGACTGCAGTATATTCCAGTAACACACACTTGATTACAGAGAATGGATATAATGTCTCATTAGGCCTTCTTTCCTCATTATTTTAATGCTTTTCTTTAGCTCACAGCAAAAATAAACAAAAACCACAAATACAATGGAAGTTTTACTGATAGGTGCTAAAAATTTGCAGCTGCTGAAAGCTTTTGTTTCCTTTCTGCTGTGTTTTTGATCCCTCCTGCAGCCTTCAGCAGAAACAAAAGAGAGAAGTGCTTCTGAGCAGCAGTTGCTTTTATTTATCTTTTTATTACCATTGGCTTTTCTACTGTTTTTTGGGGTTTTTTTAAGTACTTGTGTTATCTGAGTGCTTTTCTTGTTTGAGTTGGCTGAATCCATAAGCATATAGTCGATTTAAAGTTCTATTTTTTAAAAAAGTTGAATACTTCACAAATTGTAGAGTTCAAGCTAGAGGCAGTGCTGTTCTGTGGTGTGTTCTGGTTTGCTTTTTTTATGTTTTATTCCAGTCTGAAAAAACACTGGTTTGTAATTTGGATTCCACAAATACCAAAGCACCTACTGGTAGTATTCAGAAATTTGTTAGAGAAGTGGGCAAGGATGAACAATTGCACATCTTCACAAAAACCATTCTCTCAGGCCAGATTTTTACCACAAACTTTTAGTAACATAGAAGAGGCTGATTTGTGGCTGGGATTTCTTTGTGGAAAAAGATCACTATAATAGATAGGACCAGCTGAAAAGTTGCTTGTGCAGCTTGGGCTCAGTTTAGTTGGGGTGAGCCTGGAGTAAACTGTGCCAGCAAAAACAATGCTATGGACAGTAATCTTATATACTGACAGTCTATATTCATATAAATAAAAAGCAGCTCTGAAGGCAGTCGACACTTGGTTGTTATCTCTGGAACAGGTTGCCCAAGGAGGCTGTGGATGCCCCATCCCTGGAGGCATTCAAGGCCAGGCTGGATGTGGCTCTGGGCAGCCTGGCCTGGTGCTTGGCGACCCTGCACATAGCAGGGGGGTTGGAACTCGATGATCATTGTGTCCTTTTCAACCCAGGCCATTCTGTGATTCTGTGATTCTATGATTCTGTGATCTTGTCACAGGAACACTGCTCAGAAAGGTGATAAATGATAATAGCCACTATCTTCAGTGGAGTTCCTTGAGTGAAAATAATATCTTCCCTTCAAGAAATTAAACCTGTGCAGATCCCATTCTTATTTATGCAAAGCACTCCAGAAAAATGACTTCAGTTATAGCTGGGTTTGCTATGACTGAGTAAGGAATACTTGGCTAATACACTGTACAGCTAGAAGCACTGTAGAAACCATTGTCTTATAAGCAAGACATTTCTTTTCAGAGCTGGATCTTCTTTTCCTCACAAGGGCAGGATGTTTTCAAGTGTTTTGTGAAATGTAAAGTTTAATTTAGCCAGACTTTGTGTAGGTTACTCCAAAACCTACTACTAGGCTTTCAAAAGGTCTTTGCTGTCCTGGTGAATGTGCTGTATTGCATGTCATGATCATCATGTATTTATTGCATGTTTCTGATGGATCTCTTTAAAGAGGTTGAGAAAAGTCCATTTTCTTACATTAGACACCCAAGTGTGACACATCAGCCAGACAAGCCCTACACTTGCTGCATTTTCTGTTTTTCTCTCCATGGCATAGCTGACCCTCTGAAAGGTAGTGCTAGTAAAGGTAACTGGATAAGCAAGCAAGTGCTCGGTGAGGAGGGAGCCCTGCAAACTAAAGAACAGCAGAAGCAACTGGTTTGATCCTGCCCAAATTCTGCTAAATGTAATTCCAAGGGTAACAACTATTTTTTATCAGTATGTCCAGAATTGTAGTCATGATCTCCAGAGCATGCAGAGATTTCCATGCTGTGAAACTTTTTAAAGTACTTCTTGTTCTTAATTAATGCTAAGTTACAAGCTACAGCTAAGTTACTATCATTTTGGTTTTGTATCTCATTCAGAGAAGCATGTTTCAAACACAGTGGTTCTTCATTGGGAACACAGAGCGTGACCAAAAACTTGCTAATTTTAAGTTATACAGTCTCTGATTATCCAACATAATAAGTAGTGATACTTGTGTATGTCAAGGAATGTTGGCACGTGCTGAGTTCCCAAAATCAATTAGACACTGGCATAATAGGTGCTTTAAGTTCTCTGAGGCAGTAAAACCATAATTTGTCAAAATCAGTTTGGAGAAAGCTTACTTCATTAACTATGATCGTGATTAGGATTTTATTTTATTTTATTTTATTTTATTTTATTTTATTTTATTTTATTTTATTTTATTTATTTATTTTGGTAAAATCTCTGCTGTTGCAGACCTCAGCTATGCTTAAAACTGTTGAAAGGCAAAAAACAGATGCTCTGACAAGCAACGGAGAAAAGCAGACACTGAGGTATGCTTTTGTTTATATTCTTTCTTTTTCTGGTTTACTTTTTAACTAAATATATTTTTTGAATAGTGCAACTCTCTGTTCATGTTAAATATAACTAACCACAATCCTATGATAACACACCAATCTTAACATCGTTTTTGATACTGCTTTTCAATCAGTTTTGCTTAATGCTAAGCATGTGGCATGATTGGAAATACACATGCTTTAAGCAGCCTTTTTGAAATCTACCATCTCTCTGTTCTCCCATCTCAACCTGTGTTGTTAAAAAGGGATCTTCTTTTCTTCTGTTTTACTGTGGAGTTGGGGCCCCTTTGGTCCATTAAGAGTAATTCATTTAAATAATTGCTTAGTTTGATACTTTTCAGTGAGTAGATATTGTAAGGATTTTTAGAATGATAATGTTAAGTGATTTTAGATCATAGAATCATTGAATATCCCAAGTTGGAAGGAACCCATTGAATTCAACTCCTAGCTGGCAACACAGAAAGTCTTCGTATTTCTGTTTAATTACATGGGTTAGAAATTTAAATATGAGAAGAGCCCACCTGTTCTGAACTACAGAGAAATAAAATTAATTTCTGATTGTAGTGCTTGTGAGATTGCTTTGAAATTGGAGATGTATTTTTTAACTGAACCAAAACGTTAGTAATATAATGTACAAAGAATATAGGGAGTCACACAAAATTTGGGTTGAACCCAGTATCCTGCCTCCAGTTGCGATAAGTAGATGCCTACAAAAGGGCAGGCAGATAAAATGTTTGCTTTTGGAACTCTCCCAAGTATTTGGAGACTTCCTAAGTTAAAACTGTTTCTGTATGTTCAGTATCTCACAATAAATACTCTTCCATGAATCCACTTAATTATATTATTAATACTAGCACCCATAATATGTACTAGGAACATCTACAAACGTAATGAGTAATTTATAAATAGGAAATGTGTACACATATTTGCTTACCTGCATTTTCCCTTTCACTCTGTGTAAGCATCAAATAACAGGATTTCAAAAACTGGAACGCTCCAGAGGAGGATTTTAATAGAATATGAATTAATGTCTCTAACTGAAGTTTCCCAATACAGAAAAATCCATCATATTTTCTCCCCATGTTCCATTGTGGAGAGGGTGTGAGAGAGTAGTATGGTGGTGTGTAGCTGCAGGTCAGTGTTAAACCACTTGTCTCACAAAATAAGTATTGTAACAAAATACCCCTTTCTAACAACTTCACCTCAAAGGAATTTTTCTTTTAGTTGTCCTTAGCAGCAAAGGACCTGATTCTCAAAGCATTGGCTTTTACAACCAGAATCTTACAATTTTCACCTCAAATTTGGTCTTGGTAGACAACATAGAGATAAGAATCAGACTTCAGTATTGTTTGTATTTTAAGTTCTAGATACAGGCAAATGTCCCTCGATCATGACAAACTTATAAAACAGCCACTGTTTTATTCCTTTTATTTATGTTTTGATTTACTCCCTGAAGGTTCTTCATTCAAGCTGACATTAATGAGAAACAATTTCACTCAAGTTAAGAGAAGACCTGTGTGATTGAAAATCAATTGTTCTTGAGAATAATTTGATTTTCTTCTGTCCACAATTGTTCTGTTAGCCTTTCAAAAACCACCTGCAGTAACTGGATTTGAAACCATACTATAAAACAGTGCTTAATGTTTGTTTTAACCTTAGGTACAGATACAGGAAGCCCAACCCATTTATTAAAAAAACACTGTAACATTTTTGTGTCATAATTATGAACACTAACTTTTATTGCATTCCCATTCCTGGTTATCTAAACACAGAGGACAAGTTCAGTAGAGATCCTTTTCTGTGTTATTTCACGGCGCACCAAAAAAATAGGCTAGCTGACAGCTGGGAAAAAAAACCATGGATGTCTTGATGACTCGTGTCTCTGATGTAGTCTGAGGAGCCAATTTAATGTCATTCTGAGCCGTCACTGCTGTACTGAGGCATATAGCAGGGCTTATTAGCAGTTTCAGCACTGCACTGGCTGCAACATCCTAGTTATTAGTTTGCATCTGGCGTAGGTCCAGCTGTGTGCAGAATTCCACACAGACATATGCTGTCTGCTTGGTCCAGTTCTGCAGTGGTTCTTTGATTGTAAGTAATCTGAATTTGAATGACCAGTTGGTGACTTCACAAACTGAGGCCTATGGTTCTGATCATCCAAGTTCTGGATGACTGCAGCTCCGTATTCCTGTGGGACCAGCTCTCCCTTTATGTGGATGTGTCAATCTCAAGAAGACTAAGGAGTCTTAGGGAGAGCTTTGCTGGCTGTTTGCCCAGAGATGTGAAGCTTGTGCAGATCATGTCATCACAACTCCTACCACATAACAGAACATTTCTCTGGCTGTCATGAATGTAAAGATATGACTTTGTGACATATTTTCCTTCAGAATGCTTATGATTTGAGAGAGACGCTGAAACCCTTCAGGCAATTAGGGCAATATACGGTGCTGTCTGCCCGGTGCAGTGATGAACAGGGAGAGAAACAAAGGTACTTTGTGTAAGTGTAGAGATGCTGCTTGATGGTAAGAATGAGCCTTCCAGTTTGAGGAATCACTGTTTCCCCCTTGGAGATTTGTTTACATTTTCACTGACTTCTCTTAGATCAGATGAGAACAGCTCCAGTAGGCTTCATGTAGGTGATGTGTGCATCCGTGATGAGTACCACTTCAGAAGTCTGCTAACAGCATTTCATATGTAAGATCTCCAGAGAATGATCAATAGACTGACACACCTGCAGAGAACTGAAACTGTGCCTCCATGGAGTGGTTTTCTATTTCTCGTCCGGGATTATGTAACTGATGATGATGTCTCATTAGCTTTCTCTTTGTGCAAATGTTTAGTATTCTGTTCATGTTCTTTGAATACCATCAATTAGATAACAGGAAGTAGTCAGGAATCATGAGATGAGGATTGTTTTAGAATGCAGAATAATTAAATGCTCTGCTAGCCCTCCAACCTAGAAATATACTTCTTTTTCCTCTCAGGGTTATTAATTCACCATAATAATCAGTTATGTTAATATAAAAAGCATGCAAATTTTTAGCTTACAGGAAATGTGACATTTGATGACTAACTTCATCCATTTTATTTCAGAGGGAGATGCAGCGTTCCGCAACGTCTGAAGATGGTTAATCCCCAAAAAGGACCAATTAAAAAGACTGCAGGAGTGATGCAGCTTCCAAACCTAAAACCCTGATTTAATATACTTTTTTTTTTTTAATCTGAAAATTTCTGATTTGAAAATGAATGTGTTTATGCTTTATTACACCAAACCCAGACCAGCACATCTTCTTGGCAGCTGTAGTGTAAGTTCCTCTTTGCTTGTTGGAATTGTTCTTGTAGTTGACTTTTTTGTTCTGGTGATCTCTGACTCTTTTCATTCTGGTTCTCATCAGTTATTCTGGGTATCTGGGAGCTGGGATCTTTGGAGAACATTTAGTCAATCTGGTGGAACTGGTAGGTAGTACTGTTGAGTCTGTATGATTTTTGACATCTCAATCAAGGGAAAGCGAATGCAGAGTAATATAACCTGAAATGTAATCTCTCTACCCAAAAAGTAAATCTCTGCAGTAATTCCATCCAAGAGCATATGGTATAGCAGCTAAGAAAATATCCAAGTAGTCTGATGTTGTTACAGCTGAATGTGCCTTTCATTTTACTCTTAAGAAGACCAGCACATAGCCAGTACCTTACAATAGAGTTCCTTTCCAACATAAAGTTATTTTTTTTCCATTACTCCAGCAGAGGGACGAAACACCTCCAACTTTTTAAAAAGTTGGCTTGTCGTAAAACCTTTTGTTTGCATGTTTTAGAAGCACACTGTCATGTCTAGCCATTATAGGCACCAGTTACAGAAAGAAATGAAAGAAAAAGTCAGCGTTTTTAATCAAGGATACTTCAGAACATGTCTTGTGAGGGGGGGTTGTTTCTTTTAAACATTACATACACATTACGTTTCCTGATATTGGCATGTTGTTATTTGCAGTTTGAATTCTCCTGTGGATGTTTTTATCCACAGTCTGGGTTCCATAAAAATCTTTATGTACTGTTCAGTGGTGCTGATCCATATATATTTACGGCCCAAAATAGTGCCAGTTTTTAAAATAATCTCTTCAGTGAACAGTAGGACTACTTTGTCTTTTCATTCTTAAGAATGCAATTGTAGTTTCATTACCTACAGCATTTTAGTCATTAAACTTTGACAGAATACTTTTTAGTAGCAACAGAAAAAATGTTTTGGTAATGAAGCTTCAAGCTTCTGGGTTACATCATAAAAGCTCTTGGCTAAGCAAATATGGTTGATTGACTGCCCTTTATTATTTTTAAGAGCATCCTTAGCTCTTTGCAGTATCTGGTAAAGCTTTTTGCCTCTTTAAGAGCAGTACAAATAGTTCCTTATTACTGGCAGCATTAAAGCGAGGCTGTAATTAAACTCTTACAAAAAGATCAATGATGCCATTATAAGATCCAGGGAAAGAAGACCTACAGTATTGTACAGCATATTCTGTATGCAGAAATCGTTTTTCTCTTACATAGTATGAGATTTATTACAGATATTTCTAATGTTACTCTGATGCACCTGGTATAATTCTGTCCTACGCAGGCTGGTCTGCATAGCACAGCTGATGAGGGTTCCTCTTCCTGTTTTTACATGGAAAGTTTCCAGATTTTATTTGTCATTGGGGAGAGAGAGAAAAAATCACCATAATGGTTCTGTTGGCATAAAAGACAAGGACATCTGCAGTAGCAAAGAATATCCAGTTCTTGGATTCATGCAGCAGACATTACTGCTGTCTCTAAATCAAATGTTAGTCAATGCAGTTGACTGTAGTCCTTGTAACACTTCACAGGAATTGGAAACTTTGCACCAGGATGACACAACAGCAATTGTTCACAGCTGGAGAGTTAATTACTTACCTCATGGGTACTTCTTGCTGAGGTAACAATTCTGAAGCTTAAAAAGAAGCATTTGTTGATATTGTTGATGCAATAATGACCTGAGGAGAGGAGCAGACTGTGTCCTCTTAGTCCCTATTTCAGCACACCAGGAGCAAGATCAGGATTTGAAACTCAGCAGTATGGTAATTAAGCCCTGAAACATGTGTTTCACCGTTCTAATTATGTGTCCAGCTGTAGCATTTGCTTTGCAAAGTGGTGATAGTTCTTTTTACTGTAGAAATTACTTGGCACTTCATTTCCCTCCTGTCTTTCTGAAAATAAGGGCAGGCTGATGACTTTGATGAGTAAAGTTTCTTTGCAACAGCAAAAAGTGTTTTGTTGTATCTTTGGACATGAATAAAACGTTTACACTGTTTATTTTTTGTTTGTTTGTTTTGTTTTCTAAGAGCTTTCGGAAACCACGTAGGAGATTTTAGGTAGTTGTGTTGGGTTTTGGAGGTGGATGGTTGTTTTGAAATACCTGGATTTATCCTTCATGGACTTTTCTCATTACTATGCTGTACTATGAAATAGTTCATGTTTGCACTTGTAACAATAAACAGTTCTGTATCTTTACACAGTACCTTCTACATGAAAGATTTCAGCACGTTTTGGAGTCATTAATCCTTCAATGCACAGTATGTAGCATTATTCTCATTTTAGGCCTAGAAGACTGAATCTAAAGTAAACAGGAGTCTAGAGAAATCTATTTTTTTTTTCCCTGTTTTCCTGACAGGGTCACCTTTGTTAGTTTTGCTAAGCCACTGTAAGGTTAGTTTTATCTCTGTGCAATGTGTCCTAACAATGAATGAATCTGAATACAAAAATGGAAAAATGAATTGCTGATAGTTGTGGTCAGTGAGTGAATGGAGCTAAATATCAGAGGAAGATAGGATTAGAGGTGAAGGTTTTAATCTGGCCAAACTTCTGCAGTACAGAATGTAATTGGAATTTGGACGTACTGGTTGTAGTGTGTCTATAATTGATGGACCAAGAAATTTGATCTCTTAACTCTAGGGACTTGAGAGCACACTTCCTTTACATAGTTGCTCCTTATGTGTAACTGCACTGATTTCAGCAAGCCGTGACTTTGAAGTAACTGTGGCATTTGAAGTGTTGAAGCCTACTGTTGCTGGAAAGTATGAATTAAAAACTCAAATGCTGGTAAGCAAACATTATTTCCCAAACAACCATTCAAATTTTTTTAATTCTCATGATGTACGTGGTATTACACCATGACTTTTGTTTGCAGTAAATCAGTACAGCAGCATGGTCTCCCTCTATGGCAAAATGAAATGAAAATGTTTACTGGATAGACACTGAATGTGTGGCTGAGTATTAAGTAATTAGGCAGCATAACCACAGACTCCAGAGAAATCGGGTGATGAGTTTCCTCATACTCAGGATATCATTAACAGTAAAAGAATGTTTTATTGCTTAAATACTTTGTTTAATGAGTTCCTCATACAGATAACTGAGTAGATGGAGCAGTTCACAGCTTCCCTGATTCCTATGATACTTCATTTCCACTGGTAATATCTACTGGTAATTTCTACTGGTACAGATGAGATGTGTTACTTCTTAACACATTTCCAGTAGTGGAAGATGCTGCACAGGCATTATTAGAAATGTGATATGGACACAACAACTGACCAATAAATAAATAATGAAATGAACCCCTATGCTATTAAGCTTCTGCTCTTACCGCCAGTCCGGTGTCAAACGTAAACAGTGACTTGAAATAACTGGTTGGAAGCAAAGTAAATCACATGGATGAAAATCACATCTAATTGCAACAGTTTTATCTCTTCACAAGCAAGTGTCACGTGAATGGCAGGCATCTCTAGATTAGATAATGAGGCTTTTCAAAGATGGCAATATGTTATAGTTTAATCCTTTCATCCAAGGATACAAACATTTTATGTGGTTCCTTACAGGTTGTAGCCTGGAACCCAGTTCTCCTGGACTACATTTGTCTGTTCCTGTAAACAGCTAAGAACCAAACAGAGCTTAAATGAGTATCTCCTCTCTGCAGGAGCAGCTTGCAGATGGAAACAGGCTTTGTACATGCTTCTTTGTGCACATTGATGCGTCACTCCACAGAAGAGGCTCACTCAGGCCACTCTGTCCTTTCAGGACTGAGAATGCAGTACTGACTTGATGCAGACACTCTATGCACCTAGCTAGGGAATGCTAATCAGCTACGTGTGCTTTTAGGGTATCTGGGTGTTTTGTAGTACAGATAGAGCTGGGCTCCCAGCTGTAGGTGTGGTTTCTTCTCCTTTTGTATCCACAATTGCTCTGGTGCCATGGCCTGGTCTGCATTTGAGAATCTCCACTATGCCATCAGGATTTGGGGAAGCGTAACCCCTCTCACTGTAAGCAAAGAGCAAGTTCAAATCCACCTGGTGAGACCGAATGTGTACAAGACAATGGAGCTGGACAGCATGCATCCCAGTGTTCTAAAGCTGCTGGCTGATATAGTAGTCAAACCACCCTTCATCATATTAAAAAAGTCAGAGCTGTCAGGTGAAGTCCTTGGTGACTGGAGAAAGGGAAACATGCTTATGTTTAAGAAAAGGAGAAAGAAAATTCTGGGAAGCTACAGACCAATGAGGCTCACATCTGTACCTGAGAAGATCATAGAGCAGATACTCTTGAGAACTATGCAAGATGAGGTGATCAGTGACAGGCAGCACAGCTTCGCTATGCTGTGCCTGACTAATGTGGTAGCCTTCCACAGTGGAGTGATGGCATCAGTAGACAAAGGAAGGGCAACTGATGTCATTTACCTGGACTTGTCTGAGGCCTTTGACGTGGTCCCACATCGCATTCTTTTCTCTGAATTGGAAAGATACCGATTTCAAGGGTGAACTGTTAAGTGGATAAGGAATTGGGTGAATGGTCACAGCCAGAGGCTTGTGGTCAATGACTCTGTCTAGGTGGAGGCCAGTGATAAGGGATGTCCCTGAGGGTCTGTCTTGTGGCTGGTGCTCCTCAACATCTTTATCAAGGACATAGATGATGGGATGACTAATGTAGTAATGGATTGACTTTTTATATGGTCTAGTAGTGATAGGACAAGGGTGAATGGCTTTAAACTAAAATGGGAGATTCAGACTGGCTATTAGGAGGAAATTCTTTATTCAAAGGGTGATGAGGCACAGCTGTCCAGAGAAGCTGTGGAAGCCCTATCCCTGGAGGCAGTGGATGGGTCCCAGGGCAGTATGATTTGGTGGTTGGCAACCAGCCCACAGTAGGGAGTTGGAATTGGATGGGCTTTAAGGTTCCAACCCAAGCATTTCTGTGTTTTTGTGCTTTAATATCAGTGGGTTCCTTGGTGCAGTCTTTATCTTGCAGACAAAGATGAACTTAATTTCCAGGCTGGTAGAGTTACTGGGTCCCATGTAACTTTTTCACCCCTTTTATTTTTGTCTGGTTCAAGACAACCTTGCTTCAGCACCCAGCTCTACAGTAAGCAGGACAGTATGTTTCTGGTGCTGAAAAGAAACGTGAAGATAAATACACCAGTGGTGAAAGCAAGCTCACTGGCAAAAATGCAGTGAGCCTGGACAAGCCTAACCTAACTCAAATGAGTGTTTCCTTTTATCTTACAATGCTATCTTACAAAGAAGGATGACATTTCAGCCATGTTGGTGCAGACTCTTAACAGCTGTAGCTGCCACATCTGATTGAAAATAATTACTGGTGAATATCCATGTTATGTTATTCTCCAGTGAGCACCCAGCAGTGCCACTCCAGTTTTTGAGGGAAAAACTCAACGATGGAAAGAGGAGGACTCTCCTGTGAGGTGTGGCTGGGCACACTCTTTGTTTCCCACTGCCCTGCACCACAGCACCAGCTGCCTCCTGCAGCGATCCGAGCCCTCTGACCACAGACACGTATCTCCTGGAGAATCTGTTCAGGAATGAGGTGGTTTGACTGAGTGCTGTGGGATGGGGAGCAGAAAAGTCATGCACAGCTGAAGAGTTATTTTGGGGAGATGGATGAAGCAACAATGGTTTGCCCCTTGACACATTGCATGCTGGTTAGGAATAGAATACTGATATGTCCTGAAAGAAAGAGAAGAAGGAAATACAAACTTGGGAATTTTGTGACCCAGCCCAGTGCTTAGAAGTTAGACATCTGCGTCTGAGCTAATCCCTGTCTGCTCCATGTGTAGACAATGGAAAGAAATAGAAATCTTGAGAGAGAAGTTTCTCACGTTCTAACAGTGAAGATTAAAATGGATCAGAAGGCCCACGAATTTCTCTGCATAGACCAGGAAGAAAATCTACAATAGCAAATTCACAATAAGCTGCATGATATAGATATGTAGGTTGAATCCTGTTGAAAACATTGTTATTTTTCTTGGTCTGGCTGGGGATAGTGACACCCAACATCAGGAGAGTGTTTGAGCTAAGAAGAAATACCGAGCTGCAATGTGACTCTCCTTTGGGTTGATCTTCTCAGCTTACAGCAGGTCCTGTTCTTCAAACCCTGTATTTGTAGTGTGAGGTGATCTATTCTCAACTTACATTGGCACTTACAAGGACAAATTGCCTCATTTTTTCTTTCTTTTGAAGAGATTTGGCAAGCTTCGTGTTCTTTGGAAGTGAAAACAAACGTGCATTATTCTAAAAAGCCCCTCTAAAATGTATGGAACCCCAGGACACAGGTATAGGGAAGTACAGCCCATAGATCAATGAGCTACAGACCTCAGAAGAAATGTCATGCAATCATTTGGTAGGATCAATAATGTAGAGATCGATATTTTTTGTGTGTTCCCGTCTCTTAAAAAGCTGAGCTAGGAATTTACTAATGACGAGTGAGATTATTGGCTGGGCAAAGTTGTACTTGAAGGATTAAAATAGTTTGCAAGTCCTGCCAGGCCTGCAGTGGCTGGCAGCACAACTTCATTAGTATAATGTATTTCTAAGCCAAGGAAAATTTGTCCAAATACACTTAAAGTGTTTGGATGAAATCATCTGCCATCAGAAGTCATTTGTCTCTTCCTTAGGCCAAGCCTTTCGTCTCTCATTGGCACACGAGCAGAAGGGACAAATGCTACTCCTGTGCTGTCAGATACAAAATCACAGAATGGTTGAAGTTGGCAAGGATTCTGCAGGCCTCCTGGCCCAACCCTGCCCCAGCAGGGACACCCCAGCAGGGTACCCAGGGCCACGTCCAGGCAGCTCTGGGAGACCCCCAAGGAGGAGCCCCCACAGCCTCTGGGCAGCCTGTGCCAGTGCTCCATCTTCCATACAGTGCAGAAGTGTTCCCGGTGTTCAGAGAGAACCTCCTGTGCTCCACTTCGTGCCCATGGTTTCTGGTCCTGGCCCTGGAGAAAGCCCCAAAGCACTGG